AAAAAAAAAAACAAATTTACCTACTCCTACCTTCTTTTTTTGTATTGCTTCGATACATACAAATTGAATTAAACAGCAGTTAAATAATTTAGTTTTTGTTATGTTAACTTATAACGATTTAATTAAATAATTCGGTAGCTAAACATTGAGAACTTGTCAGGRAATCCGAATAATCACGATGTGTTGGTATTCCRTATGCGAATGATCACCAGCGGCCAGCAAACATCAGTTACTATCACAGAACTAGTCTTAGGAGCTTAGCCCGTATAGGTACTTATCTACATACTAATAACTTCAGTCTTAGGTAAATTCACAGAGTGGCACTTACTGAGATTTATAAAATCCTGATTCATGTGTAGAAATATATCATACCTAAACATGCGAATATTGTGCAAAGCTTAAATTAATTTTGCACCCAATCAACAAATTTTCCGTGAGCGTCCCCCAGCCGTTACAATGGTGTACTTAAAAGTTATGATTTATAGAACCRGTAAATAATTKTTTTTATTAATCATAGGACTTGATAGTTGTAAGGGATGCTTTCGATATACTGTTACCGAAACTGGCTGGTTGCGTGAAAACATTGGGYGAATTCGCGGATAAACACAAACATTTAGCCACATTGGGTTTTACTCACTTTCAGTAAGTTTATTACCGATATGAATTATAMATAGGTACTTATAAATTATAATATATAGAAAATCTAGTGCGTTTAAAGTTAAATTATAAAGTAAAACAATTCATAATCGTGCACTTCTATTTTCAGACCCGCTCAACTCACCACGGTCGGTAAACGCGCATGTCTCTGGTTACAGGATTTGATTTTGTGCGAAAAAAACATTAGTCGTGTTCGTGCTGACCTCAAGTTTCGCGGTATCAAAGGAACCACTGGCACCCAAGCATCATTCTTGCAACTTTTCAACGGTAATTTATCACTCTCAGGCTCTCTTCTCCTACCTTCGATTTATGCATAATTCATTCATATACTGGTATACTTATTAATTCTGGGAAATGGGAAATATCCATATGATTTAAATTAACGGATAATGCTCTAAAATTTTAAGTTTGTATTATTTTGTACACATAATATTTTGTTAACGAATTATAMAGTGATAGTGAAMAATTYAAACCCAAACATTTTCCCTGATTTATTCTGCACAGTTTTGAGTTTAATATAACTACTAGTCCGTTGTAAATTTATAATAGATGTTTAAATATTTATGTATATATTATATACCTAATATTATGTTTCAATGTTCTTCAGGTGACTACAATAAAGTTAGAGAATTGGACAACAGGGTAACAAAGCTTGCTGGATTCCCAACTTCATACTCTGTCACGGGTCAGACATATCCTCGAATTGTTGATGCTGAAGTTGTTTCATCCTTGAGCATTCTTGGGGCTGCTGTCCATAAAGTATATYCAAATAATATTATAATGCGATTCTATATCATACAAATTATAGGTATTTTATTCAGGTAAAAATATTTAATAATACCAATGTATTTTGTAATGTATACAGATGTGTACAGACTTGAGGCTATTGGCCGGCATGAATGAAATTGGAGAACCTTTTGAACCTACTCAAATAGGCTCTAGTGCAATGGCTTATAAACAAAATCCAATGAGAAGTGAAAGAGTTTGCTCTATTGCTCGGTATCTTATGAATCTGGTTAACAACCCTTTATCTACTGCCTCTGTACAGTGGTTAGAGCGAACATTGGACGACAGTGCAAATAGGTCTGTGTTAATTTACTTTTGTACCACAATTATTAAAAAAAAACTTTTCAAATTTTTTTGTTGACATTTTAGGCGTTTATGTTTATCAGAAGCATTTTTGGCTGCAGACAGTATAATGCTGACATTACAAAATATCCTCGAAGGGTTATCTGTATTTCCTAAAGTGATATCAAGAAATATTGAGAAAGTATTACCCTTTATGGCTACAGAAAACATAATTATTGCAATGGTCAAAGTTGGAGGAGATAGACAAGTAAATATAAGCCMTTTCACAAACATTAATATTTTTAGTTTTGATCCTACATAATGTGAGCCATAGCTTAGTATAGAACTATAATAGACTATTGTTGATCTTAACATTCTTAACAATCGTGAAAACATTTATTATTTGATTTATTTCATTATTTGTACAATTAACTACATCATAAATTATTACTTTTCTTTTAGAAAAATATTTTTTAATAGTTTATTAGTATATTTATTTGATAATAAAACAAAAGTGTTGATATTACCWCCTAAATATTTTCTATTGTATACAATTGTATAATTAAATAAAAACAAATTCCAGGTATGCCATGAAAAAATAAGAGTTTTATCACTTGAGGCAGCCAGTACAGTTCGTCTTGAAGGCAAAGACAATGATCTTTTGGACAGAATTGTGAAAGATCCATATTTTGCACCAATATTAGATCAATTGCCTCATCTTTTAGATCCATCTACTTTTGTTGGAAGTGCACCTGATCAGGTAAATATCCAATCAATGAGTTTAATGTTTATTTAAATTTTAATAACATGGTTAATTGTTGAAAGGTAAAACATTTTCTAAAAGAAGAAGTACAGCCTGTGGTCAATAAATACATTTCCAAGATCAAAACTACAGCTACAAAATTAGATATCTAAATCACAATACTTTTTATAAACACATAATGAAATTCACCTTTCAAATGTTTACTCACTTTAAATTAGTGGATTTTCTTAATAAGTAGTGACCTTATATTTTAATAATATAATTATAAAATAATCATATTTATTTTTTATATTTTCCCCTTAAAAATGTCACAAACTTGAAGAAATATGTTTAAATTCTCTTGTTGTGCATTTAAAAGTTATGAGAAATTGCACAAAGTGTTATTTAGAAAAATAAATATGAAATAAAAATAAAAATAAACAAACATTTTAAAATATATAATATTATAATATGTTTCTGTTTAATTTTAATGTTATTAAAACCAAATCATTTTTAAGGGGACCGATTTATGCAATATTTTACATCTATAGAGAGTGATGTGTGTAGTAAGTAGTAACTGATCATTAGTGTGTTTCAGATTACCCAGCGCTTTGTGTAGTAAAAGATAAACTATGGGTAAGATTCTTGGAAATTTGTTATGTTCGAAACGAGCAGCCACATATCTATATTTTGCGATCAAAAAAGTTGAACATGAAATCCCAAAAAACTAAAGAGAAATACACACAATACTAAAAGACAGATTTTAATTTTGAATACATATTTGTATTTCCTTTTCTCTTTTCCAGGTTATGTGGGAAATGGATTTTTGATTCATTGTATAATTAATTAGTATAATACCAATTAATTTTCTTTCTTTCAAAATTCACTTTTAATTTAGTATTAAAAAAAATTAATTCCTACAAAACACAGATATAAGAAGTGAACAAATTCAAATATTTTTTTTTAAATTAAAATTTGACTTCTGGAAGCATATTTTTTTTCTTTTGCTTACTTGTCCATCCACGAAAAAACAGTTTGCTTCCAACAACCTTAAATATTATACATAATAGCATTGATTATTGAATAGACAGATAGACCATAATATAGGAATTTTCGGGGACTACAATTTTATTTATTATAGCTGCCGATAGGTAGCGTTGTATGAATTAATATAAAATTATTACTACTGACGGCAAATTCCTAGACCAGTTTTGTGGAAGTGACAGAAAAAGCGATAAGGCTATAAATTATTTTATCATGGATAAACTTCAACCTATATTTTCTAAGCGTACGCTTTCATTATTGTTACAATATTGTTAATTTTTATATTGTGTTGTACGCGATCAGAAAGCTATAATTTATTTCATTACGAAAAATTAATTTTCTTTGCAATGTTATGATTAAGTAAAATCTGCTTTGGGCAGAAATATTTTATTAAACATTACATATTACACTAGATTTACCAAATTTTAAGAATAAAGCAAATCTTTGACTATATTGTAGTTTTTATTTTTATTGTATTTTAATACTTTATGAAATAAAATAAAAATGCATCAACATAAATAATATACCTACTTAGTTAAATTATTAATATAATTTATAAATAAAATAATAGTTGTGTTTTGTTATTAAGCACATATTGAATGTATTAAATTTAGAAACCAACTATAAGTCTATATAATATGATGAAAACCGATTCTGAGTGAAGATAGACCATTTTTTGATAAGAATTAGGGTAAACATGTGGATCTGTTATTTTGATGAGAGATTTACTTTTATGATTTTGTTTGTCCAATTCATATGTTTTTTTTATATCATCAAATGAGATTATTTTATTATCTTTTATATAACAGGCATTAATTAAAATATTTCTTATACTTCTAAGTAAATGTGGAATATCGAACAAAGAAAAAATGTTATTATTGTTGATAAACAAAAATGGATTATCTTCTGAAAYATTTAATGATTTTAAAGTGCTTTGATTATTTGTACCTTGATCGCAAATTATAATTTTGGAACACAATCCCACCTCAAATGGCTCAAATAACTTTTGTAAAACATCAATTATTAAATTTTTTTAAATCGTTTAACGTTTTGTTAACTCCAAAATGAGCAAGAAATTATGCAATTGGAAATTTCCATGGAGACTGGAGAGTAAATACATCGAGCCATAAACACTACACTAAAACACAGTTAGCACTTGTATTGGTCCTTCCATAATCAAAATTCTTTGGAATATTCTATAAATTCTTTCATATACATTTCATCAAAACAAACAGTGCAAGCTTTTTCTTTGTAATCAGATGACTTAAATGTTTTTTGTATATAACTGAAAAATAATTTACTAAAACCTGGTAAGAATTTTGATTGACCAATCCAATGACGAATAGTTGATGGCCCAGGTGCATTAACTTTTTTTGAACATAAAAATTTATATGCTGTTGATGATTTATGATATAAATTTAAAGCTAAATTTTTTTCATTTAATGTCCACGGACGACAACTATCTTTTAATTGCATCGTTACCATTGCCTTAGAAATAATTGATGGAAAGTTATGCATATTTATTGAGTTCTTCATTATTATGGATTTTAACTCTTACAATTTTTAAATGTGTTATTTTATTATGAATTAATTTGGTTTTTTTGTTTTAAATTGATTTTTCTAGGTGTATCTATTTCTATCA